AACTGGGTCCAGGCCTCTTTCTTAGTTGTTGGAATTTGCTGGTGATCCTTTATACCTTGCTTTCTAGAAACTCAGAGCTCAGCTTGATTTGCAAAATCATATTTTCTCCCTCCTTCTCTCTCTCTCTCTCTCTCTCTCTCTCTCTCTCTCTCTCTCTGTGTGTGTGTGTGTGTGTGTGTGTGTGTGTGTGTCTTACTTCTCCTTCTTTACCACAGCAGCACTCTTTTTGTTCATAAAACATTTTCATTCCAGTTTTGGAAAATGCTTTGCTCTTTAATTCCAATAAGTTCTCAACTTCTTAGTCTCTACAAGACCCTATTTAGAAAAAAAAGCTAATAACCACATTTACAGGATCAGGGCTTCAAAGTCCACCTGACAGACCTCCTCAGCCCTAGCTTCCAAGGAACATGCTTTCGTTGAGAAAGTCCAAAGATCAGGAAAAAAAAATCCAGGCTGACCATGGGCTGGATACACTTTACAGGGATGGTCAGAAGTAGACAGATTAGGTTAGGCTATAACAAAGCTCTTTGATTCAATAACACCAGCCTCTCCAATTGCCTGCCATTCTCATGGTCTCCTAATGGGCATAGTACTCAAATTGAGAAGTGCCAGCCATTCACAAACATGTAAATCATAACTGGTGGCTCCAGACCAAGGGATTTGTCTTTTGGTTGCTGATTGAAGCACCATAGCATGATCTACATCATGTTCTATCCCATGGCTATGTGCCTCACTATCTGTATGTGTGTGCATGTGCATGTGTTTTCCAACTTATGGTGCCTCTACTTAGCCCAGACTGATCTCTGACTTGCCTCTGCTCTTTCTTCCGTTTACTAATTCAGGCTTTGGACCATTATATTCTTCCCAGGCATGATTTTTTCTGTATATCTGAGGACTCATCTGGGCTCATGTGGCTCCAGCCAGAACTGTCAAATTGAATCTCATCTTCACATCACAGCTTCAGTGAGCTCTGCTGATTCACCAATTTTTTTCACTACCTGTATGACTTCCCTTTGTTTGGAACCAACCAGTCTCTAAAAGTCTGAGGATCTTCCCCAGATGCTCTTCACTTCAGATGACTCATCCCTCCCAATCCCCATCATCCTGACCTGTTACGGGAATCATTATCAGAATCATTATCAGAATCATTAATTTCTCATCTTACTCAATATGGATTTTAACGAAGGGAAGAGCCATTCCTGCACAGTACTTCGAAAGTAAGCCTTCAACTCCACACAGATAATGTTTCTCATGAGTGGGGAGCTAGACCTCTGGCTTTGAAAGGAGGATGTGCCTAAGAGCTTCCTTTCTGACATCAGAGAGGCTCCTGATATGGCATCTTGGTTTCAGGTCATATTTGGAGTGAGGAAATTAGCCAGAGAGGAAAGGGCTGTACTGTGGGAAGCAGCAGACCCCTCCCTGGGCATTCTATTGTATCCTGGAGAGCCCTGGCCTTCTATGTGATGTCACCAGTGCGGTGGCAACACCAATTGCTGCTGGGGCATCTGTTCATTGCTTACAGGTTTTGGTTATAGCCATATTGACAAGACTGAGCAGGCTTCTTGAGAGACAGAAAGGAGAGCATCACGAGACTAGAGCGAGGCAGAAGTAAGCCGGCCTTTAACCTCAGTGTTACACATCAAGATATAAATGGTTCTGGGCAAAACACGGTGAGTCCTGTATAGGGAGTGGGGAACTACTTGATGATGGAAGGCTTCAACTTGGTTTTACATGGTGGGACACTGGATCTTGGAGCTTCGGGGAGGTAATGGATCTATCTTGCTTCTCTTCATTCCTGAAGAGTAGACCTGGAGTCTAGGGTTGCTGAAGGTTAGTTTGGCCGAGAGCCAGTAATGGTCAACCCTGCAGATGCTGTGCTAGTGGTTCTCTGCATTGACTCTGAGTGGGAAGGAAGGAGAGAGGGATGAATGAGGTTTCAGTTTCACTGTACTCAGCACACTGGATTTCTTTTGGTTGTGCGTCACTAATAACAGGGAGAGTAAAGTCCCCTGGCCAAAGCTGGAGAATCTCACATTTTACCTCAGAGCCACTTGCAGGGCAGGAGCCATCAAGTATTGCTAAGGCTTCTGAATTCCTGCCTTTCAATAGCCCATCATCTTTAATTTGGGTGTAGGAATGGGCCATCACTCCCTCTGTAAGTGTCTGTTCTTGGTGTGTGAGGGCTCACCTGTGGATGCCCTGTTCTTAGGTGTCTCCAGCCTGTCCTGTCACTGGGTGATCTCACCTTTGCTAAAGCCATGAGTGATGGAATGTATTCTGCTGAAGTTGGGGGATATTTTCATCATTACCCATGTGACTCATCTTTGATGTGATGGGACACCCATAATCCCCATCACCCCCACACATTGTAACAGCCCTGTGGATCTTTCCTGAGGTGCTCATTCACTTCATGTAACTGAACGTACTTCCACATCAACATGAGCTAATTTCTTAGTATCTTTCACTTGTCATCTTATTAAATAGAGATCTTCAGAGGGGAAGAGCCTTTCCTTGGGAATGTTTGGAAAATGAGTCTTGACCTCCATTCATGGTGAAGCATTAATTTAGAATGAATGAGAGTCTAACTAATCAGAAATCTCGGATTGGAATAAGGAGGTGCTGAAGAGCTTCCCCTGTATCTCAGGGAAGGCATTTGGAAAAGCCAGCTTGGCTTTTGGTGAACTGGGGAAGATACAGTTATGAGATAAGTGATGGCAGTTGGCAGTGACCCTAACAGTCCATTCTCTGGACATTCTATTGCATCCTGGAGAGTCATTGACCTCTTTGGTGAAATCATCAGTGTTATTTCCTTGGGGCACTCATTAAGTACTTATAGGGTTCACCAGAAGACACATAGGTAAGATTGAGCACACTGAATGGCAGAGAAATCTGACTTTTGAAGAGGGAGTTGGGGCTTGAACTGGAAGAGATGGTTCTCTGCTGTTTCTGGGTAAATAAAGTGCAATGCAATGGTGAAGGATTGGTGATGGTTAGTTTCGCAGAGAGCCAGGAGTTGACAAGGCTACAGCTGCTGTTCTGTGAGTTCCTTCATTTATTTGTAGTGGAAAAGAAGGCCAGCAGGAGGCAGAGACAATTAAGCTGTGAGAGTAGGATGTTGCTACAACTCATATCAGTAGATTCTTTAGGTTCTGTGAGTATCTCATGTGAAAATTCCCTTCTATGCACCAGGGTCTCAGACATTCAGTGACTTTTATTCCAGGCCACAGGTAAAATGGATTCGTCGTGCTAAGCACTAGAGACTCCAGAAACTTTCTGCATCACATCAGATATGAGTTGATACTTCCACAGCAGCATGGCTTGGTGACATATGCCTTTCAGGGCCAGTGGGGCTGCGGCGGGGCTGATGCACATAGCTCCCCACAGTGAATGGAGACAGAGGCATGGCTTATGGGCTCCTAACTTAAGGATAGTTGTCCTGCTCCTTGGGGTCTTCACTGAGTTTCATGCAGTCACTCTTCCTCAGGCCTCTTCATGAACTCAACATGATCTCTCCTGGACCTGTGCCATACTACTGCATAAATTTACTTATGTTTATCTACCTGCAGGGAGTACCGGAAAGACAGCAACCCCAACCTCTGTCACTGAGCAGGAGCAGCAGATGAATGAGGTTGATACACTGACCCTGCAGCTTCAGATGATGACCCAAGAAAGGGAATGAACTTCGTGGAATCCTGGCTAATTCTCCCAACAAGGACTTGAACAACAGGTAGTCCTTTTGTTCAGTTCCTTGGTGACTGTCTTGACCCTACTGAGTCAAACCCAGCATTCCTTAGGTCACTGAAGACGTCACATCCAGGGTGCCCTCCTGTCCAAACTAAATATCCTGAGGGCATCTGAGAGGCATAGCTGAACCCTGGGTTGGAGTGATATCAGGACACAGGCTGTGTGATTCTTCCAAATGAAAAGCAGAGCGTGTGGCCTGGATCAGTCTGGGATGGGGCAATAGTTTGTGAGCTCTCAGCATACATTTCATGAGGCCTTGACAGGTGTTGGCTTGTGGACGATGCTAGGTGCTGTGAATTATGGTGAGTCTTTGTTCTTAATCAGCAGGTGCTTGAGTATTGGCTGCTCCTGGGAGCAGCTGCAGGGGCCTAGTCATCTTGGTCCATTACAGTGTGTGACTTGAAGTCTGAACTTCATCACTGCTCCTCTCTAGTCTGGATTCTTATATTCTGAGACAATTCCACCTCCCTACATTTATTTGGAATCCTTCGTCTGTGTCTGTGTGTTAGTTTGTGTGTGTGTTTTAGTGTGTGTGTTTGTGAGTGTATGTGTGTATCTGTGTGTGTTTTAGTGTGTCTGAGTGTGAGTGAGTGTATGTGTGTGTTTTAGTGTACATGTGCGCACACGTATGTCTGTGTGTGTTTTAGTGTATGTGTGTGAGTGTGTGTGTGTGTGTGTGTGTCTGTGTGTACATCTGAAAGTGGAAGGTCTGTGACAGAGCTTGTGGTTCTTTCTGTGTCACAGTTTCCGGGTGATGCCAGCACTAAGGTCAGTGAACTCCACTCCGAGCAGCAATGCTCCTGGCACATGTGCTCACCTTGGCAGCCCATTGGAACACACTGGACTCTTAAAAATCTATCCTTAAGTCTGTTCTCCTCCCTGAAAATACTGATTTTGTGCTTCACACACCCATGTTTCATACAATGGGAATATAGGGTCAAAAATATTCGTTCTGAAGACAGGAACAACATATTATAAATTTCTGGTGGAACCAGACATGTGACACAGGCTCCTGAGGACTTAACTATTCTATTCCTCCATGCAGGCCCATTGATGGAACTGGTGCAGCCCCTGCTCACTCTCTTTGCACCCCTGACTGCAGGTCTGGGGCCAGGTCAGCAAGTTTAACAAGCACCAGGTTGTCCTAGTTGATAGATATCGGAATGTGACATTGACTGGGCTGGGGTGTTTAGGGCACAGCCTGAATTCATAGGATCATTAAGTCCAGTGTTCACGGGGTTCTTTGCTCCTGGGCCATGTCCTACCACAGGCTGAATTTTGAGCTGGAGATGGTGAATATAAAGCATAAGAAAGTAATGTTGGACCTACAGAAACTCCCCAAGGAGATTAGAGAGGCTTTGTATAAGTGCAAGGAGCTGACTGAGGAAACGGTCTCCTACAGGGGAGTGGGTGACTTCACTGGGACTCCCCATTCATTGGGAGTGACTTTTTGCCATGCTTTTATATTTGAACCAAAGTGAGGACCTTCGTTCTAGCCTATCTCCCCATAACAAGCAGCTTGTCTTATGCTCCTGACTTGTGCCTCTTGGACCAGTTTTGCTAAGAGTGAAGTATCTGTAACCCCATCCCACATTGTCCTGCCAGGATCAGGACCCTGTAGATAGAAAACCTATTTTCATCATGATGGGTGTGTCAGGCATCTGTGGGTCTCTGGGAACTCTGGTAGGGGTTTATGGAGGTAATTTTATGGGACCTATAGATGGAATGTATTTCTCTTGTGTCCTCTGTCCTCCCTTAGAGAATATTTGCCTTCTACCTCTCAACCTCATAATGTTTTCCCAACCATGAACAGTTAAGTACATGTGGTAGGAGGCAAACCCTGCTCTCAGAAGTACATGGAACCCTTTTAGTTTCAGGGATTTCAGATGTAGTCTGAGTCTTTCTGGAATTTGGCTCTTCTCTGGCTTTTACCAGCTACTATATTATGCTGACATGGTTACTGTGAGCTCTAGTCTGGGCCTGCCTGGAACAAGGACCTTGCATGATGTGGGAGTGGTAGATGTTGGCTGGATGGGACTCATGATGTTTTTGTGATGGTTCAGCATCCTCCACAACCAGCTCCTGAGTGAGCAAACTCAGTTGAAGGAAAAAGTGAGCATGTTGAGAGAGGAGAACCGAGAGCTATGGAGGGAGCAGATTTCACTGCAAGAGTCCTGTGAGAAGGTGAAGAATCTCTGTGATGAGGCCTATGAGAAGATCTATGAGCTATATGCTGAGGAGAAGCAGGTAGGCTGCATCAGTGGGGGCAGGCTGTCCACCATATGTAATATTCTACACACGCACACACACATACACACACACACACACACACACACACACACACACACACGTGATCATCCACCTACTTATCCAGCAGCTCACTAACATCCCATCCAGTTGTTGATTTCTGTGATCATTCACAAGTCTTTTTGGGGATTTAGCATTTGTAATATCAATGGTAAGGTTCAAATTTGAAAGAGAATATCCCTGTATAAATGCCAAAAGAGTGGTTCTCTTTGTCATCCTTTTTATCTTTTCTCATATATTGCATCTCAACATCAGTTCCCCTTCCTTCCCTCCTCCCTGTTCTTCACCGCCTGTTCCCCCTCTCCCAGGTCCAGTTCTCCTTAATTTCCCTTCAGAAAATAGCAGGTCTCCCTTGGTTATTTGATCTAATTTTTAAAATGACAATAATCCCTGGACTTTGCTCATGTTTTTTACGCATTCTAACAATGAGATACATCACCAGATCCTTTTAAAGTCTCGCAATATGATCACATTACATTCCACATATTAGCTTTGAACTCACACTGTAGTTCGGTTCAGACTTTAATGTTCAATCCTTCTGTCTCAGTCTCTGAGTAGCTAGGATTAAGGGTTTGTATCACAAACTCAAACCGAGGCTAAATACTTAAATTAAAATTGAAGGTTAATCCATATGTCAGAGGTCATTGGATTACAAGTGTGTGTTTTTAAGACATTTGTGCTAAATTATAGTCATCTCAAAAGCATTAGTGAAAATATAATTTAAGGTGCATTATCATTAGTAGACAGGTAGCTTTAAAACGAATAGAATAACGGTAGCTTTCTTCATTTAACCATTCAAGAGTCTATGTTGGGAGTCACATAAATGCCAGGAAGTAAGCTATACCTGGAACAAACAGATAAGACATCTGTCCTGAAGGAACTGATGAAGTTATTATCTTTAATCCATCTTTTACATTATACCTAGATTCTGCTCAGTGCAATCCACCAGCTCTCGCTGTGTTTGAGACTCCAATAACAGAGGATTTTCCTTTGGGAGGCAGAATCCAACCCTTCCTATTGATCTGTCCACAAAATTCAGTCTCCACAGAAAAGGCAATTTTACCTCCTGCCCATTAGCCACACCCTCCAATTCCCAGCTATACATGAAAATGATTATATGCCATTGAATCATAGGGATTCCTGCTTCTTGTTATTATTTTAGAGGAAGTAAATTTTAAGCTTCCCCTTGGGTAGAGACTACATAATTAATAATACTATTTTAAATTGCTCTTATAACACTTTGACAATACACATTTTATTATTGAGTAAACATTTCATTTCCTTTTTATTGAAAATAGATTATTCTTACATAAAATAGATCTCATTCATGGTTTCCCTCCCTCTACTCTTCCTGGCTCCCATAAACATCTGATTTTTGCCAGATCTGCTACCCCTTGGTTCCTTTTCAGAAAGAACAGATAAGCATGAAAGAACAAGACAAGATAAAAACTCTGATACAGAGATGGACAAAGCATTCCAAGAAGAGGAAATGTGTCCCAAGTGTAGGCAAAAGGTTCAGAGACACACCCACTCCCACTATTAGGAGTCTCACCAAAACACCAACACATATGCAGAGAACATGGTGCAGACCCATGCAGGCCCCATGCTTGCTGCACCAATCTCTGTGAGCCTATGTGAACCCTGTTTACTTGAGTGAGTGGGCGATGTTCTAGTGTCCTCCACCCCGTCATTCCCTCTGACTCCTAAAATTTCCCCTCCCCATTTCTTCTGAAGGTTTTCCTGAGCTCCTATGGGTGGGACTGATAGAATGTTCCCATTTTGAGACTCTCTTTCATATTGTGTCTGTCTGTGGGTCTATGCACTCATCTGCTGCTAGAGAAAAGCTCTCTGATGATGACCAGCAAGGCACCAAGCTATGAGTATAGCAGAACATTATGAGGAATAATAGGAATGATTTCATTGATTTTTTTTAAGTTTTGTTTGGTTCTACCCTATGTGTCTGGACTGTTTGGTTTTCAGTTTCTAGCCATCCAAAAATTGTAGGGCATGGACTGCCTCTCCATGCATGAGCCTCAAGTTAAGCCAGACATTGTATGGCCACTTTTGCAACTTCTGTTCAACAGTGCCCCAGCATAACTTGCAAGGAGGACAGATTGCAGGTCTAGGTTTTTGTGGCTGAGTTGATGTCATGTTTCTCTTTCTGTAACCTGCAGAGTACCTTCCCAGGCCAAACAGAATAGAACATATGAGTGAAGGCTCCATGCAGGCAACAGCTTGACCTCTCTAGGTTCAATGATGTGTAGATGTTGTCCACAACAATGGGACCCCACTGTCAGTTTTCAGAGAGCAACACTCTGTCCTAGCATGAGCAAGAGGTATTTATGGATCTCCACAGAGTACCCTCCAGCCAAATATTCAACTGAATGCAATCCAGTCTCAGCACTGAAAACTTTGCTTGGCTACAGAAGATGGTCAGTTCAGACTCCATATGTTCCACTATTAGGAATCCCCACTAAAATCCCCCACATAGATTACAGGAAGATTTTATCTGTACTAACTTTCTATAGCAGCCTCTGGGAGCCCTCCAACTTCAACTGTCTCTTTGCACTCTTCCTCCATCTCTCCCCTCCCACATGATTCCTTTCCATCCTCTCCCCACCCAATGGAAGTTCACCTGCAAAATCTATTCTATTTTCTCTTCAAAGGAAATTCTTGTCTTCCCTCTAGTGACCTTCGCTTTACCTAACTTATCTGGGTCATGGAGCGTAGCTGGATTATCAATTACTTAACAACTGATGCCCACATATAAGTGAATTTATATCATATGTGTCTTTATGGATCTCAGTTATCTCAGTCAGCTTGATTTTTTCTAGTTCCACCCATTTGCTTACAATAGCAATTGGATGTCATTTTTCAAACAGCCAACTAATATTTCCTTCTGTAAATGTACTGCCTGTTTTTTATCCATTCTTCCATTGAGGGACATGAATGTTGTTTCCAGTTTCTGGTAATTATGAATAATGCCACTGTGAAGATATTTGAGCAAGTGTTCTTGTGGCAGGAGAGAGCATCCTTTGTATATATCCAAGAATGGTGTATCTAGGTTTTACAGTAAATCAGTTCCAAATTTTCTGAGGAACTACCGTATTGATTCCATAGAGGCTGGACAAGTTTGGACTCCACCAGAAATGGAGGAGTGCTCCCTTTGCTACAAACCCACACCACCATGAGCTGTCATTCATGCCATTGACCTTAGCCATTCTGACAGGTTTAAGATGGAATCTCAAAGGAGTTTTTGGTTCAGATTTCCCTGATAGCTAAGAATATAGAACATTTCTTTAAGTGTTTCTCAGCTGTTTGTGATTCTTCTTCGGAGAATTTTCTGTTAGATCTATGTCACATTTCTTACTTGAATGATTTGATTTGTTGATTATTTGTTTGTCGAATGCCTTATATATTTTGGATATTAGCCTCTGTCAGATATGGAGTTGATGAAAATCTTTTTCTATTCTGTAGGCCTCCATTTTCTCCTACTAATGGTGTCCTTTGCCTTACAGAAGCTTGTCAGTTTCATGAGGTCTTTTATTAATTGTTGATCTTAGTGCCTGAACTGCCAGTGTTCTCTTCAGAAAGTCATCTCCTTTGCTTTTGTGTTCAGGGCTATTCCCTAAATTCTCTCCCATCAGGTTCAATGTGTCTGGTTTTATGATGAGGTCTTTCATCCACTTGGACTTGAGCTTTGTACAGTGCAAATAATATCTATATATTTGCATTCTTCAATGTGTCTATGCCCAGTTTGACCAGCACCATTTGTTGAAGATGTTTTTTCTTTTCCAATCTGTCCCTCTTGCTTCTTTATAATAATCAGAAGTCCATAGGTGTGAGGATTCATGTCTGGGCCTTTAATTAGATTTCATTGATCAATGTATCTGCTTTATGCCAATACCTTGTAGTTTTTATTATTTATCTGTGTAGTACAGCTTGAAATCAGAGATTGTAAATACCTCCAGCAGTTCTATTACTGTTGTGGATTGATTAAATTAGCCTATGTTTTTCGGTTTTCCATATAAAGTTGAGAAATGCCCTTTCAAGGTCTGTAAAGAATTGTGTTGAAATTTTGGGGATTGTGTTGATTTTGAAATTACTCTTGGTAGGATGACTATTATTACTATATTGATCCAACTCATTCACGATCATGGGAGATCTTTCCAGTTTTTAATATCTTCTTCAACTTCTTTCTTCAAAGACTTGAAGTTTCTATCACATAAGTCTTTCACTTTCTTGGTTAGAGTGACCACAAGACATTTTATATTGTTTTTGGATATTGTGAAGAAAGTGGTTTCTCTCATTTTTTTCTCAGTCCATTTATCATTCATATATATGTGGGCTAATAATTTTTTGAGATAATCTTGTATCCAGCCACTTTACTGAAGGTGTTTCTTGACTGTAGGAGACCTCTGGTAAAACTTTTAGGGTCATTTATATATACAATCTTATCATCTTTAAGTAATGATACTTTGTCCAATTTATATCCCCATAATCTGCTTCAGTTGTTTTATTGCACTAACCATATCTTTAAGCTCTATTGTGAATAGATATGGATAAAGTGGACAGCCTTGCCTTGTTTCTAATTTTACTAGAATTACTTTGAATTTCTCTACATTTAATTTGATGTTGGCTATAAGCTTGCCCAGTCAGTTGTCTTTGTTATGTTATAGTCTGTCCTTGTATCCATAATATCTCCATAACTCTCATCATGAAAGGGTATTGGATTTTTTCAATGACTTTTTGTCTCTAGTAAGATAATCATAATGTTTTTCCTTCAGTTTATATGGTACATTACATTTACTAATTTTCATATGTTGAACTATATTGCAAGGAGAGGGCCTGCTTATACTTCCTGGCCACCCGGCTAGCTTAGTCCTGAAATAACCACACAGAAACCGTATCAATTAAATCATTGCTTGGTCTATAAGTTC